TTTGCCTTTAAAAAAAGGACGCCTTTTAGAGAGTACACCATTCTAGGTGATGATGTAGTCAATGCTGATGAGTCGGTTGCGAGTAATTCACTCATTCAAGCCACTTCTTTTCTTCCAAAATAGTGAAAACTCTGTACCTCGACCTATGCTGCCAAACAACTCATCAAGAGAAAGTTCCCGCACTACTTGGACTCGTTGCGACTCGATTGAGGCAAGAGTGCACTCCTATTCTATCTTCTCTTGTTTGCCGAGAAGTAGGATAAAAAAACCTATGATACCCCCTTGTTCTAATATTTTTTTCTAAAGAGCAATCGATTACTATACTAGTGCATGTTGCGATGGGTCCCTAATTGGAAGGCTTTTCCGAACTCTTTGAGACATTACGAATCTAAACAGGAGACGTCCCATGTGTCTATCCTTTTCCTTGTCTCCTTGCAATATAGGCAGATTTTATTCTCTAGCTCAGTAGCTCAGCTCGAATCAAAATATCTGATAGGTCGAGGTCATAGTTGGTACCAATTAAACAAATTGTTGGAATTCCCAAAGTGATACATTCTCGAAGCGTCGTATATTCTTCTTGTTGATCAAGGATTATTACAACCCGAGAAAATAAAAGGCATGCCTGGCAAACTCCGATCATCAAGGTTTCGCACTGTAAAGCCGTTATTGTGCTCTATGGGAGCTTTCTTGTGCTCTATGGTGAAGTCCACTTTACTTAGAGTGAAAGGCGATCAATCCACTTTCATTTTAGGATTGCTCATTATTGTTTCATTTAATGCCCCTCTCAACCCAATAGTGAAATCCTGCAAATAAAGCAAAAACGGCTCCCATAGAAAGTACATATGGAAATGCGCGACCACATAATAAGTACCATGTAAAGCAATATCTAGCCCAGAATTTGCTGGGACACATCCTTACCCCAACTTAGGTACACATATGGTTAAAGCGAACCTATAAACGTGTCTACTGCTTTGAGGTCTCGTTCTTTCAAGCGGAGGGAGCAAGGAAATTATGAGGCTCTACCCCTTAAAGAAAGTACTGCTACATGCCGTTTAGGACAGATTTGAACCTATTGATCATCCTGGTAATACTCGAAAAAAGTTCACAGGAAAGAATACACTCGACCAATAGGGTCCTTAACCTAAAAGGTCGGTTCCCTCCCCCCAACCCCAAATCACCCAAAAGATAATCGTAGCTAAGACACTACCATACCAGGCTCCAAAACAAACTTGGGTAGTTAAAGATCCCAAAACACCACAACCGAAACCAGCTAAGGAAGGAGCGAGGCAAGATTCGTTTAGAGTGTGTGGCCTATTACTTTCTTAAATATAAGAGTTGGGGTCACTAAGCAAACAAAGACATATCTGGTAACCAAGTTAAGTCTTTGTCAAACAATTCCCAATCATGGTCCTTGTAGAACTAGGAAATACTCAATTGAGTTTACTCTAAATATAAGAGTTGGGGACTGAACCACTAAGAGCTTTCTTGTTGCCTTGTCTGTGTTGGGAGAGGAGCGAACGGAGGAAAGAAGAGTTGTACAAAAGACTTTCTCTTAGCATACAAGGCAAAACCATGCCGCGCTTTCCCTAAAGGATTGTTCCCTTTCAATGGGACTGGGGCCATACCCGATAAGGTCTTTACTATATGTTAATACTAAACTAGGCTTACTCGCTTGGCAAGAAGTAATTCCGGTTGATAGAAAGCACTCCTTTAGACCTGAAAGGGTGAAGGTACTATGGATCGATACAGGTTTCGTCGGTATCAAGGGTGCTCTATCAACCTATGCAAATATTCTCTTTCTAGGTCAAAGCAGAAACTACAAGAATGTGATCAAGACTCATGCAGTTCTGAAATCATGCCTTAATCGAATATAATCAATATCAAAATGTCATGTACTTGGGTTCATACAATCAACCTAACATACAACTCTATGCTTCTTCATACCTAGGTGAGAGAGGGAGTTTACTCCATAGAGAGAGAGAGAGATGAAATCAGCTTCATATTAGAAATCATCTTCTCAAGGATAGAATTCAGCTTCTGATTGTCAATAAGTGCTTCTCCGGGCTTCAATCGAGCTCCAATGGTGTCAAAACTCGATCTAGGTCACCTTGGAGGATGGGTTCGTCACTTTCTCTCTCTAACTCTCTGTTTTTTCCTCTAAAACTGGGATCCCCTCTTCAAAAACCCAAATTTGGGTTAAAACCCAGATTTTCCCGATAGCACGGCCAGCACGCGGTCGTGTAGAAAATTTCGTGCCTGCCCTTCTAACTCCCAAAATGCAGTGTTCGGATTAGTTGCTCGCGGTCGACACACGGCCAGGATGTACGACCGCAAGGATTGCAGCTTTGCCTGTGTAACTATCCTGGAAAACCTCACATGGCCAGTACGACCTGGTCCCATAGTCCCACGCGTACGTCAAGACCACACGACCGCGTAAAATTATAAGTAGGCCGCGTATTTTGCTCAAATTTCCGTCAAACGTCCTAACTTCGTCCAATCGACCCCAAACAAGTGCCCAAACCTTCATTCACATACTAGGACCTAAAATGTCACTAACAAGAACAACCTAACGTGAAATCGGTCTAAAACACGAGAAATGAGCCTCACACAGTATAAGAATGATGGACAAAAATATGTGCAAATATCAAGTCATCACCATGGTCCCCTTTTGTCTCTTAAAGGTTTCTTATGGTCAATTTTTACATAATTATGGTGAAGATGATAGATAGTGAAGGAGGTAGTACCTAAAGGATGAGCAATTTGTTCTTAAAATATAAAAAATGTGGCAACATGGTTAGCTCTCAAGGAAGCGAAAAGAATAAAAAAAGTAAAATGTAAAGAATGAGAGTTGCCACAAAATTTTTAGTCTTGCTCACAAGTTTGTTACCTCTTACACTGTTGTGCTTGAAATATGCCAGAAATAACATCAATAAAGAAAGCTTCTACGAATGATTCATGTTGTATATGGTTTGATTTGGAATTGTGAAACTTTGAGGTATATATATTCACCACTTGAATATCCGGTCAAGTCCTCCTAACAAGCTAATGATGATAAGCATTGTGTGAACTTCAACCATTTGAGGCTACTATCATGGTGAAGAGATGTTAGGAATGAGAGAATGAACATGCACATCTCTCACATCAAATTGTCTTGACCCCACCGGTCGAGAGTGAGTGATTCATTTCCATATACTTTTTATCCGAGTGAGGACCTAGACAGCTCGGTTTCTGATTCTAATAACTAGAACTATATGCATGATTAACTGTAGTGTGTGAGTGGTAGATTCATTTCGTGTCTTTGGTCCTGGAATTGGGGGAAGACTCCTTCTCTCATGATTTTTCTGTAGACGAGTGTCATCTGCGATGTTGACGAGGTTGCTGTTGTTATTGTCATGTGCTAGTGCTAAATGGCTATTGAGAATCCTAGGTCGTTTGCCTCTGTGATATGGCTCAAAACTTTGCGTGCTTATAATGTTTTGAGCTTACCTTGTGTCTGACTTGGTTTGCTTGGGGCAAGCAAACGATTAAGTATGAGGGAATTTGATAACATGGTATTTGCATATGTTTTCCCCTTTATTCTTAGACCGTTTGCAGCTATAGGCCGATTTTATGATTGCTTGTGTGTGTTTGTGGTATTTCAGGTCCTTGTTTGTGAAAGAAGTCTTTGGGGTAGCTTTTGGGTCAAATGGAGCATAAACGGATCTCAAGTTGTTGATTATACGGAGAGTCACAGTCAAAGCTAGGGAGTCACAACCATGACCGTGACATCCCTTGCCGGTCTGTGAGTTGAAAAAGGGGAAACAGAGGCAACATATGCAACTTACGGGCGGACCCTACAAGTTATGGTCATGGCTGTAACTCCCATATGCAAGCCGTGCCTCTTGGCTCACTGTTTGCTATTACGACGACATTTGGAGAGTGGGCGGATTAGTGAAGTGATGGTCATGACTTAGGTCGTAACTCGCGGTTCTCCATTAAACAAAAGGCATACTTGTGAAAAGAGAAGATGATCCAATTTTCACTTTCTAATAACGAACTTAGAGAGCCAAAAAAGAGCGCTAATTATGAAGAACATCCTTGAGTGGCTGGTTGAGCAACCTATGACCATTGAAGTTCGACTCCTTACCCTTGTAGTATCGATTGCTGATATGGAGAATATTTCACTCATTTACATGATGATATCCATCTCCATCCTTGCGTTCCTCCCTTACTCCACGGAGTAAACCCCTCTTCCACTTGGGTATGAAGAACCCTAGATCAGTATGATAGGAGTAATTGTATGAATCCATATTCATGACATTTGATTATTTTATATTCAATTGAGGCATTGATCCCATAGGCTAATAGATCAACTTGAGTTGGAGGTAGTGAATTGATTGCACGAAATTGAATCGATTCACTGCTCCATACTGGAGTTAAAATCAGCATAGGATGTCTTTTCAAATTGCCTTGGTAGTTTATTCTCGCGGAGGATAGTATCCCATCGAGTACTCTATTCAAGAGGGTCTGGATGCTTTAGTCGAGATTCCAGATTGTCTCAGGACTTTCCTCACTATAAATATAAATTGAATTGAATTGGAGAGTTACAACTTGACCTAACTGCAGATTAGGGGTACGTTTACCTGAGTGGTCTTTCTCACATTTAGAAATCATAACATTTACTTGCTTTCTTTAATGCTACGTATGCAAACATCTTCCCTACACTTTGATCACTAGATAATAGATAACTCACTAAGTAGTCATTACATCTAGGACCTGGTTTGACAATTAAGATTGAACCCATTATACTACATTCCTAAGTTACGATTATACTTGGTCGTTTCTTAGTGTGTTGGTATTAGAGAGTCTGAATTGCAAAGTGCAAAATATGAAAAATGGAGTGAATCTAAAATAAAATCAATCAATTAAACTCGCACGCTCCCGTTTACTAAAAACCAAGAATCTATTGTTAAGACACCAAGACTATACAAAATCAATAATAATGCATGATTATGGTTTAGTATAAAGATCCAAATTTATTCGGTTTTATTTTTAGTTTAAGAAGAAAATTGGAAGCAAATTTTTATCCCTAAATAACATTATCAGGCACCTGCAACGCAACTCTTTTGGTACCAAGCTTTTATAATAACTTTCTGTTTATACACTACTACAGGAACAAAAGCTATAGTAACTAGTAAGATCTCTGTAGTTATTTTTGAGTTGATACAAAGGAAAAAAGAAGTTTAAACTAAATCTACAAGGTCCCCTCTCTACAAACTCTAAATTTGTACTACTTCATCCAAACAGTTAAAGCCAAACAATATCAAAGACAAGACAACAACAAAAATCAACACAACAACCATGTTAAGAATACTTGTAAGAAATCATCACATCTTCAATGACTCTATTTACAGACATCCAATTAGAAAAATATGTCTAGCACTGAAACACTCTTTATTGAAAGAGTTTGAGTGCAATAACATAGAGCCATCACCTTGCCATATCCTGACCATGAGTAAGCAATAAAGATTACATTCACAACCTTGCAAATATATATGTGATATATGCAAGGGGCATGTTGCTTACCTGGACAGAGATGGACGCCCCTAATTCATTGCAAGTGATCAACAAATAAGAAATATTCATCGAAGCTTGAGTGCTACTAAATGTGTCATTTTCTGGACCACCTTTTCTCCAACTGGACTATACATAGATTTCCCACTTACAATTTTTTTGTATAGGCTGTCAATTAAATTGTATGTTAGTTGCAAGATCATGACGAAGTTGGTGCATTTGTTTGGCAGGATCACCTAGATACTAATGGGATCTCAACGTAGGATACTAAACTAGTAATCTCAAATACCTTCTCGTTGATATCTACAACCAAAATTATATATGTTTTGTCAAAAGTAGTCATCAAATGCCCCATCCTTCTTCTTGGCCTTCCCTGCTCCTGCATAATGTTAACAATCAAAGGCAAGTATATTAATGCAATTACAATCATATGTGTAGTTTGGAAGCTTTATCACCCTAAGAATAAAGTGTTTATCACCTATGCCTTCTGTCTCTGAAAGAGTTTGCACTATAGCCCTGAATGCATTCCGATTTCTAAGGGCGGCAAACTTAGATGCAGGAGCTGGAATTTGGTATGTTATAATAGAAAATTAGAATCAATTTGCACATGTACATTAATTAGAATAATCAGAATTAGCACATTTATGTCATTCTCTTCCATACCATTGCTTCCAGAAGTATACGCAGAGTTGTTAGAATGATTTAATAGTTCTTTCAGCTCTGTGAATTGTTCTGATATTGAATCTAGCATCCTGAGACACACTAAATCAGATTGAGTATTAGTCAAAAGTCATTGTCATATTTAGTGACCTAATTTTCCCAACTACTACCTGTTGAAAGAGGCTTGAAGTTGGTAAACCCTAAACTCTGATTCTTCTAGTTTCACACGCCTTCTCTCGCACAATTCGACAGACTCCTCATATTTTCTTTCTGCGTTATCTGCTCTTTGCTTTTCTGCCCAAAGCATGAACTAGGGAATAGAAATATATATCAGGTGACATGAATGAATAATGAGCATATATATCTCTCTCTCCCTTGGCTAATGTAATCGACTAACCTTCCAATTCTCGACATCAGAGCTAGCTCTTTCACCATCAGAACCATCATGAGAAGTTGGGGGCTCTTCAACATCATTATATGATTTATTCCTAGGAACTCCATCATCTTCTTGTGTTTCATGAAGCATGCTTTTCGAAGTCCCTGCAGGGGATTGTTGAGGTAGCATGTCTTTTCCTGAATTTGTTTTCTTAAGTTCCATATAGTCTAGAACGGCTCTACGACGACGCCAATCAGCCTGTATGTGTTGGTAATGATAATTATGTACGTGCATGCATGGGTACAACTAAGTATTAGCTAGGAAGCTAGGTAGGAGAATGACCTGGATCCTAGTTGCTGACTTTGTTTCCAATTTACTATAAAAGTAATCTCTTGCAGCCATTGCTCGTAAAGCAGTTTGCAAGACAAGAGCAGAGGACTTAATATTACTATAGGTTCTCCTGGCTACTTGCCTTCGCAAGTTCTTTTGGATTTTAACAGCAGCAACCTCCCTTTTCATTTCCTTGTATGACTTCCGAGCATGATAGCCTAGAAAATTTTGTACATAACCATTTATTCAAGCATCGATTAGCATATATAAATAAGTAGAGATAGCTTGAAGGAGATATTACTTTGAATTGATGAGCTCACCTCTCCATTGAGATTGTATATGGATTGAAGATTGTCGCATGAGAACATACTTCTTACGAGTTGATCGTGTTCGAACTTTCCTTTGAATAGCTGTGGCAGAGTTTCGATAAACTTTTGCCCTTTGAGCATCTAACTCTGCCATCTGGTTTCCTTTTAGGAAAACCTTTGTTGTCCCTATCTGCATGCATGCAAACCCCACGTGAATGAAGATTTTAATGTACACAATCTAATAGAGAGCAACCATTGTTTCTATACCTGATATTGAGTAATCTCTGACTTCTCTAATATCCATTTGCATGCTACCTTTTCTTCGTAACTGTCCAAATATACCAAGAGTGCAACAATAAATAAGAGGGCACAACCAATAGTTGACTAATAATTAAGCCCATGGTCTATTTATTGACTACGATGTATGATGATAATCACCTCCCGGTCAAAACCTCTGGCGCTATAATACTATATCGATTTATGAATTCGTCAAAATTCTTATGAGCAGGGTATCCATCACATTTAATTCGGATTGCCTCTAGAACTCCCTGCACAAAGACCGACAGTCATACCACATGCATGTAGTTTTGATTTTGAAGAAAAAAGAAAAAATGAGTAAGAGGTGGATTGCTCATTACGAGCATTGACATTAATGATTGGACATCCCAAAAGTGTACTTACACCAGACCGTAGTTGCTGCATGACATAAAGATTCTCAAAAATTGAAGGCTTTAAAACGTGATTTGGCTTCACACATCTGATAAAGTGAGGATCTGTAGAATTCAAAATCTCCATCAACTGTTGCAATTGTAGCTGCATCATTAAGTGGGATTTCTTTAATTCAAGTTTTGAATACAAAGATGTACTCATAAACATAAAGTGGAGATACTAATGCCAATAGATAATCGATAATAAAGAGATAATAACCTTAAACCGAGAACCGATAGATGAGAACTTGGATGGTTTGCTTGTCTCCTCTGATAATAAAGGGAAAAGACGTTGTATAAAAGAGCATTCTGAAGCGCTCAACAAGTTTTGGTGTTCTGGAACAACATAGTCTTTGTTTTTATCCAAAAATTGTTCAGATTGATAGAGTACCTGAAAGCATATGCATGCAAATTATACTATAATAGTACTAAATAGTAAGTAATAGCATAAGTTGTGGACAAGCGAAACTCACTTCCCCTGCATAGTGAACAATGGTGAACTCTGATCGAGCCAACTTTGGTTTGATAAATCGTTTGTGATCTTTAAATGTTTGGTAAAGCTTTTGTGCAAATGTCTCATGAGTTGATTTTGGGACTAGACTGCAATATATAATAGAGAGAAAATGAAATTAAATTGAAAAGGGTAAAAGTAAGCAATCTTAGAGTTGCAAGACTTGGGAATGTAAACCCTACCATGCCTCATCAAGTAGAGCAATTATCCCGCCTGTTTTCTGTAATAGCACTATGAGTCATAAAATAATAATCTAAAAATCTTTCAGCTTAATTTCCATGAAAAAGATGAATGGATCTAATAGATGTATTCAAACCTTCTCAATAAGATCTAGAACATCTTGATTATCAACAAATTCAATGTATCTCCAATCAATTTCCTCCTTTGTGTACTCTGTTTGTTCAGATTTAAATACATGCTATAGACAAAAAAAAAAATAGTTCTCTTCAATTAAATTTTGAGATATTAAAAAAATAACATCAAGTCATTATACATCAACCAATTTTGATGAGCGCTTCAACCCTTGATGGGGATGAGGAAGAGGAAGATGAAGGAGCTTGCATGTTACAAACCTACGATTATATATGAACTAACTTTATAATATGTCAATCTTCCTAGTTCTATTCCAAATTAATAACCTACCTGGTTGAAATGTTGTTGTAGCTTTTCATTCGTATAGTTGATGCACAACTGCTCGAAACTGCACAAGATGGTGTAAAAAGTAATGTCCATTTAGGACATTGAGAAGAAAAAAACTGACAGTTCAAATATGCTTAGCTCCTACCTGTTATATTGAAAGCTTTCAAAGCCATAAATGTCGAGAACCCCTATCAAACACTTGGACTTAGGATCTTGGCCAATGGATACATTTATTTTGTCGACTAACCTGGACATAAAATACGATTCTCAATTTGAAACAACAATAAGATAACAAGGTAAAATGGAAACAAAAGGATGAAGAATGATGAGATAAGAACCCTACCAATCAAATAAACGAGAATATATAGTCTTTGCTAAACCATCCCTGCTAATTGTAGCACCACCCGTATCAAGACTCTTCTTGATCACATCATCGGGTGTTATCATTTTTCGTTTGCATAATGCATCTTCTAAGGACTTAGGATCACACCTGAAAGCATATACACAAATGGTTTTCTTAAAAACAGGTACTTGTAGAGTAAAGCATCAAGGTGAAAGGCCTTGGTAAGATACTAATATAACATTCATTCAGTAACCTCTGCAAACAATTAGGTTATGATACTATTTGGCTCTAATAACTCAAGTTATTGGGAGATTTTAAAAATTGAATCGTATACCATTCCCTATAACTTTCAATCTTATTCACCTGAGAAGGTTTGCCGTCATCTGAAGATGAAATTTGGAATCATCATCTTTTAGGACTGATGATTCAACGTCTCCTTCTTCATTTCCAAAATCAATATTCCCCAAGTGAAGAATAGCCGCCACAACTCTAAAGATGGCTTCTTGTTCCTCCTCACTTATCCCAACAACATCCATAGCTCGCCTAGTAGCTAGATAATTGTTTGCATCACTAACACCAACCAATTCATAACAATTGGATTGGTTAAGATAATGGAATGATTTGGGATCTCCCAACTTGTACTTCTCAATCTCCTAATTAAGAAAGAATCAAAACTTGTTTGAGCTTCAATCTACCAAATGAAGGACTAAATGTAGCTAAGAAAGTAACTCTGACCTACCTCTTTTGGTGCTGCACATAAAAGATAAAAGCAGTGATAGTTACGCTCAGGATCCGAAATTTGGCATACACGTGACCTCTCAAGAAGATATGTTCTAATTGCTGCTCCAGAAATTCTTCCGCAATTGTCAAATTGAATCTCTACAAATTTCCCGAAACGACTGCATTGTAAAAATTACATGAGTTCTTTTAATTGATCTTCTTCTTTGATGAGAAATGGAGTGGTACAGGTCTCACCTAGAATTGTTATTTCTGGCAGTCTTTGCATTACCAAAGGCTTCAAGAACTGGATTTGACTGCACAATACTGGTTAGTATGAGAGTTTAAGTTTATCTAGTATATGTTCGCTAATTATGAACTCTAAAATAATTAAAGAGTCGTAGTAAGAAGATAATAGCCTAACTATATAATGGGTTCCTCAACAGGGAGAGATGATAGAAAAGAGGTTGCTCGTTATGGGTAAGGAAATATGAATCTCCTTATTCAAAACTTCAAAATTCATCCAAACCTACCTTAGCTTCTAGATTTTTTTCCCGATACAAGCATTACATTAGGCATAATCATATTTTACTACTTACTTCTAGAACTTGTTGTTCAACAGTCCGCCCTTCAGCAGCCGAATTTCCTCCAAGATAGGCAAGGTAACGCATTAGATTCTTAGTGGTCTCAGTTTTCCCAGCTCCACTTTCACCACTAACGAGAATCGAGTTGCTTTTACCTTCACTAATCATTGCCCTGTCAGAATTGATAACATGTAAAAATCACTTGAAATTTTGTTCCTGAGCTAACGGGAAAGACTATTACAAAGATATTCTCACCTATATGCAATATCAGCAATGGTAAAGACATGAGGGGTCTGGTCTCCCATTTTTGCTCCTTTGTATCGCTCCATCACCGAAGGTTCATATAAATGTGAAAGAGCTTGAAATGGATTGACAGCAATAAGAATATTTCCTGTGTAAGTCTACCATGCAATTCATAATGTCAATAACATTATATCACACCGATTTTGACTATATTAATAAGTTTATTGTCTTAAGATGAATTGAGTATGACATTGAGTAGACAATTAAGTGAAAAACTTACATATATTTCATCTATTTGAAATCTAGTAGCTAAATTATGCAAGACTTCAGCCTGATTTAAGTAATGGAGGTTAGTCATGTCATCAACTCCCCCAGCTGGAGATTCTGCATCTCGAGAATGTAACTCTGATAACTTTGCCACAACCTGAAGAAAATAATAATAATAATAATAATAATAATAATAAGTGGCATAAGAAAATCCTTATTTTGTATTTTATGAAGAAACTAGTTTGGACATTGTAGGGCTAATAAATAATGTTACTTACAGTCCTTCCATCACTAGTTTGAACTTCAATGTCATGTCCTTTAACGCTAAACACGATTCCATCTACCCAAGCAAGTTCAGAATCTTCAAGCCACACATGAGAACCAACATCAATGGTTTCTGGCACCCCCTGAAAATTTTAATATACACAATGAGGATGTTATCCTAAAATTTGATTTGGTAGTTTTTCTATTTGGGATACTTATCATAAAATACATAGATATTTTTCTTTTTTTCTTCTGACATACAAAACCATAAACAAATGTGAAGCATGAAACTGAGTATGGTTAAAAGCTTTTAACAAAAAAGAGATTGACTCCTATAAAGTATAATGACAATTTCTTAGCATAAATGCATAAAACTGGAAAACATTCAATACTAATGGAAAAAAACATTTTTCACGTTCACTTTAACATAAACTAATTAATAGGTTAGACAATAAAAGTGCATGATCAAACCTAAATAAACGAGGCGTTAAGATCACAAATATACGATAATTGAAGTGTGGTGGTTGCCAACAATATGACAATCTTACCATTTTCGTTATTTATTTCTTAGATGATCATCTGGGTGTGGTGCTACTTTCTTATGGCATCTAAAAATTTCATGAATCGATTAAATTTGTAGCTGATAAAAATTCAGTCGTTTTCTTTTTGGAAAATGAAGTAAATGCAAAATCGTTTCAATAGGTTCTTCAAGAGAAGGGGAAATGATCAGAGAAAGCGGAAGCAAGGGTAATCAAGATTTTTTTTGTGAGTCAAGGAAGGAAAATTCAATCGATCGATTAGTGTTGGGATCTTTTTTTGTGAGTCAAGCTAAAAAAAACTCAATCGATCGATTAGAGAAGGGGAAAAATTAAAATTGGTTGTGATATTTGGTTTTGCATTGAGTTATCTTTTGTGGGAATATTAGAAATTTTGGCGGACGAGTAAGCTTGTATTTCGTCGATTTTGTGGCTTATCACTCCATTCCCTTTTTCTAATGGTTCGTGTCTTTCAAAATTTCATTTGTAAAACAAAAAAAAATGATCAATGCCATACATACATTGCAAATAGTTTCTTAAAAATAAAATTTTGAAAATATGTGAAGGGGCTAAAAAAGAAAGCCCAATGTTGTAGAGGCCCTTAGTCTTGTTTGCCCCTATCAGATCTACAAAATCTTTTTTTTTTTTAAATTAGTGTAGGTTGAATTGGCGAAAATGCCACCCTAAGCAATTGTTGATGACGACAATTGTAAAGTGGTATTTTCTACTCCCATTTTAGGATAATAATATTCATTCATGACACACTCTTGGTTGATTTTATCATAGAAATACTTTAAAATGTTTAATGTGCAATTAATAGATCATAAGTTTACTTTTGTATTATTTGATGTAATTTGTGTAGTTTTTGGTGATTTTCTAGAACAAGTACGCCTGGGAGGTCTAAAATGAAGCTAGGAAAGATGATAACTATGGCGCTGCAACGTCCAACAGTGGCTTCGGTGAAGCTGAAGGATCATCATGTGGCTCGTCAACTGGATGGATAACTTAACGTGGCACCCAATGGAGTTCCTACCGCATGTCAGCCTGAATGAGAAAGCATGTCTCATGAAATTGTACATCACGAGAGGTTAGTAATATTTTTATCAACTGAATCATAAACCTAATAGCCTCATTGACTTGCGGCATAGCCTAGAAAGAAACTTGTTTGACCTTGTGCAACAAATTTATCGAGTTGACCATGGGTATCCTTGAAGTAAACGAGGCATCCAAACACTTTCAGATGATCATACGAAGCCAGACATTAAATAAGAGCTCAAAAGGAGTCTTCCTAGTCACTCTAGTTGACAAACGATTTATCAAGTAGACAGTAATAACGACACACTCGCCTCAAAAAACAAGACTTGCTTGGAACCAAATTGCTCGTTCTCTATATAGGATATGACGGTGCTTCATTTCCACCACATCATTTTGTTGCGGTACCCGTACAAGATGTCTGTAGAAAAATCTCTTCTTGAGCATAATACTCCATAAGGCTGTCTATATAGAATTTTGGTCCACGTTTCGCTTGAATACGCTAGATTTATAACATAATAGATAAACCCAAAATTCACAAGTATAATCATCTACAATCGTAAAAAATACCGAGCTACCCTAATAGTTTCGACCTTGTACCCTCCCCAAATGTCATTATGGATAAGTGCAAAACAAGTAGTAGTCTTAATCGTGATAGGGACAAAAGGATTTCTATACTTCTTAGCACGTAAACAAGAATGACAAGGACTTTGGTTATCTTGGTAATAGAAACAGAAAAAATGACTAGATGCAACATCTTCTCTTGGGAACGACTCCCCATTCAGGCATGCAAAATACTCTCTGAATTTCATACCACCACACTCTGTAGCACAAGCTTGCGACTAAGCATGCCCAAATAATTGCAGGTAGTATACTCCATCATGTAGCTCACCCTCCCCAATAAAATTTTGGGAGCGTAAGTCCTTAATGACGGAGAAAGTATCAAGAAATATCAATGCAACATGATTATGTTTCGTCAAATGACTCGTGGACACCAAATTATAGCGATATTCTGGCACATGCAGATCGTGACTAATAGTAACACATGGCTACAGATTGACCGAACCCACATGCTTATAACAGGTATGCTAGTGCCATATGGTATTCTAATGGGTTGACCATGAACTGGATGTTCCTGGCTAGGCATTAAGGACTCATTCATAGTGATGTGTTCATTGCAACCCGAATCAAGTAGACATTCACAAGTATCAGAAATAATACCTACCATATTAGCCAACTGATCATCAACAACTTTGTTGGAACAACCAAAGAATTTACTTGAGTTGCTCGAGTTGTGTCATTGTGAAACCATTGGCAGGACTTTGCTCTATATTCACCTCCGAGGCCTTTAACTCCCTACTAGAACCATCACCAGACCAATTGTTGTTGCAGCGTCTCCTTTGCCATTCTCCTTGCTTATCCCTTGGTGGATTACCTATTAACATGCCTCTTTGACATGCCCAATGCATTGACAATGAGTTAAACAAGGCCAATCACGCTCCCCAGGGCTTTGATCAGGCCATGATCGATCGCGCTCCCCCGCTACATGAAATTCTATTTTTAGATACTCATCGGGCAATGAAAGTTGTTTTCTCCGACATAGACCTCCTATTTTGAGTAATAGACTTCTGCTGCTCCTAATTGAAAAACACGTAAATTGCTCTGCTAGATTCAGTGTGGGACTTAAGGCTAGAACCTGAGTTCGAATTGGATCCAAAGCATCATCTAGTCTCATCAAGAAATTGAACAAGCCTAAATTGTTTTATGTTCCTGCCAAACCTAAACGGCGTTGTTGATGTTATCATCGCCTTCAACCATGATTGACAATGGCTGCCAACCATATCTTATTGCTCTGGTACCAAGTAAGATTGTATGAAAACTAAATGAGACATTTTTAACGTGGTTTTTCCTCTTGGTGTGTGAGGCTTACGTCCATGGAGAAGAGATCTTTTATTTGGTTAAGCACACACGTTTAGAAGCCAGATTACAACTATTTATATTAACAACAAACCCTTTCTCATAATCATCCAGGGTTGGTTTCTTAGAACAAGTGTCGGACGTGCATGTCCATGCAGTATTAGCCGTAAGGTGGGCTGGAATTGGCCAAGTATTGTGAATTTTGACTTGCATCGCAACTTAAATATATAAAACCCTTAATTTTGGTTAATCATCAAGAACATGAACTGAACCATCAAGTTTCTTGTGTGCATCAAGTGGATCCAATGATAGCTTTGCCAACATAGGTAGAAGATGTAAATAAAAGATTGATATAGTTGTCCCCACGTGACTTGTTTTCCTTATTTTCTTTGTTTAAGCAAAGCGAATTAATAATTCGTCGGAAGTTCTGTTGGATAAGAAGATAGAGGCTTATAACAATCAGGTATTAGCTCCTTTGGCGGAATGCAGTGTGTTAGAACAACTGTGTTTTCTTTACTTATTAATGGTGAACTTCATATTTACCTTAGGGGTGGAAAAGGGTTAAAACTGGGTGATATTTACTTGGCTATACTAGGTTGATGGGCAATTTTGTATGTAATCCACCAATTCAGTCAAATTCATCCACTTAAATATTTCATCAATACAATACATTTAAATCCAATCTATTTGACCCAAATCTAATTCAATTGGTGATTTCATGTATTGTTGAAAAATTATAATCTAGTACCTATACTTGTTAAACTTTATATTTTGGTACTCAAAATTAACGACAAAATCATTGAAAAATTACGTTTTGGTACGTAAAATTTTTTATAGAGACATTTTAGTATCCAAACTTCTCTAGATTGACATATTAATAGAATATTTAGATGCCACTTGGATCCATGATTCAATCCACTATTCCATTTACCGCATCAACTTTTCATATAATGCTTCTAATATAATGAGATGAGAAATTGAGTTAGGATTCCCTCAAACGAGTCTTTTAGGGCTCATGGGAACTCGGCAGAACAACTCATGAGTGATTGTGAAAACCTCAGGAGCTTATAAGTCTCTAACGGAAATTAAGTAAGCTTATGGTAGTTCAAGGAACTTGTGAAAACCTCAGGATTTTGTGACAGCTAAAAGCTCTAAAAGAGAACTTTTGGTACCTGGGCTTACCTTGGGGAGGCTAAGTTTAGTATAAGCTATCGTGCTAAACTCATGGCTCACTCCAGAGTCCAGTCAGGCTTAACTCATTCACGTTGGATGAAAGTTCATTCACTTGCTAAGGAAATATGGCTTATTTGAGCTCAAGGTATAACTTTTAAAGGTAGTTTATTCAATTCGATTATTGGACAAAAACGAATTTATCCATAAGTTCGAGACATTCAATCTATTAAACCAAAAGGTTAAAAGACCGGATAAGAGACCCCAACACTCAAATCCCTACAAGCTCAATTTAAATCAAAATCAAATTGGGAACGGACCGGGTCAAGACCGGACCGGATCAAGACCGAAGTGTATCCAATCCAATCTTTGGTCCTTATATTCCTGAAAAGACCGGACTTGGACCGGATCAATTTGGTCCAATTTAACCGGACCGGACCGTATAGCCACCCCTACTTAAAACCATGGACATATGAAAAATGAAGGTTTTGGTAAAATTTGGGTTTTGTAAAACCATGAACATATGAAGGTTTTGGGTTCATTATGGACTTGTAAAATATCATTGTTTGTTTCATTGATTTGATTAATTAGATTTGTGTGCATGAAGTGAAAATGACTTACATTATCCTCATTGGTATGAGATGAGAAATATAAAGGAGGGGTATTTTAGTGATAAATGATGACCTTTAAAGTCTATGATCAAGTTCCACTTTAAGAGATGAAATTTTCAAGTACATGCGACTCACGAATTTGGACCCCTAAAATTCATGGGGTCCACGAAGTATTTTCCACAAAATACATTAAGCAAACATTGAAGTTTAGACAAAATCCATCGTAGATCTAAATCAATCATAAATCCATCAAGCAAACATATTACCCTGTGCTTACTATTTCTTAAGTCGGTTTAGGCTTTAGAGTGAGTCCCGGGGCCAACACGATGACGTGTAAGAAATCATTGGATAACCCTGCTTCCAGTTGTCAGCCATCTGTACGCTGCGCTTACGGACCAGAAAGAGCTTCTGCTTTCTGACTTTTCCCTTCTGAAAATAGAACCGAATGGATGAATAATGCAATCCATCCATGGCCGTCTCCATCGCCATCCCCAGCTAACCACTCCTGCCCTACCCTGCTAACCAATCCGGCTGAAGTAACCGACGCTCCATTTTCTTCTCCTCCTCATGTTCTTCTGCTTGTCTCCCGAGGAAAAGGTTGAGATGGTCTGATTTTGTCTGTATGCGTTTACTCCGTTGAATTCTATTCAATTGGCCGGAGAAGTTGTCCGCGGGGAGAAAGAAATGACTCGGTTCCGACCGACATCTCCGTCGGCATCAATTTCGCCTTCGATCAACGACGCCGCAGCTCTGATTCCCGGCCTTCCGAACGATGTAGCAGCGCAGATACTATCCATGCTCCCTTACTCTCACCACTCCCGTCTAAAGTCCACCTGCAGATCCTGGTGCATCTTCCTCTCTTCCGAAACCCTAATTTCCCTTCGCCGCCACCTCCGCAAACTCAGCAACCTCCTCTGCATCTTCCCGCAGGACCCTTCCATCTCCTCTCCCTACCTCTTCGATCCTCGGACCCTCGCATGGAGGCCTCTCCCGCCTATGCCCTGCAACCCCTACGTCTACGGGCTCTGCAATTTCACTTCCGTCTCCCTCGGCCCTCACCTCTATGTCCTCGGAGGATCCCTCTTCGACACCCGTTCCTTCCCCATGGACCGGCCTTCCCCGTCATCCGCCACTTTCCGGTTCAATCTCGTCACTTCCACCTGGGACCAGCTGTCGCCGATGCTCTCCCCTCGTGGCTCCTTCGCTTGTGCAGCGGATCCTGGATCGGGGCAGATAATTGTGGCCGGGGGAGGGTCGAGGCACGCGATTTTCGGTGCTGCAGGGAGCCGGATGAGCTCGGCGGAGGTGTATGATGTTGTGAGGGATGAGTGGGTGCCCATGGATGGACTGCCCAGGTACAGAGCAGGCTGCGTGGGTTTCTTGGGTGGTGGTGATGATGGGGAACAGAAGAAGTTCTGGGTGATGGGAGGGTATGGAGAATCGCGGACGATTTCGGGCGTGTTTCCTGTGGATGAGTACTATAAGGATGCTGTGGTGATGGATGTGAATAGTTATGGGACTGGTAAGTGGAAAGAGGTTGGGGATATGTGGCAGGAAGGGGAGCGAGCAAGGCTTGGCAAGGTTGTCGCCGTTGAGGACGATGGTAATGGCTGCCCTGCTGTTTTCATGCTTGACGAGAATGATATCTTCAGGTGAGTGCTTCAACCTTGACGCTGTTATTTCCGTTGCTTGGGATGTGGAGCTATCTGTTTACCCGATTTCTGCTGTATTAGGAAAGATCCTTCCTGTTTGGTTGGATTAATGAACTAGCTTTGGTACTCCTACTTGTTGGCCAATTGACTTGTTATGAATCAGAACGGCAGGGTCCGCAACTACACTCTCCTGTGTTTTTCTAGTTTATATAGCCATTTCAGAAGCTGAAGGTTATGGTGTCTTCCGTGTAGTAGGGAGGATCTAAAGTACGTGACTAGCACTTAGCAGATTGCATTTGCTTGATATCTTGCAACTTGAGTATTTTCTGTTTTTTTGGAGGCAGTATGAACTAGTCACTTTAGTTGACTGCATTTTGGAGGCAGTGATCCGAACAAAAGTCTGCTTATATTGTTCTGTAGGAGTTCATTGCAGCTTTTGGGTTATACTTGATGATTCGTGTTCTTTATGTCTAATACGCACATTGTCAACTGAGCTGTAATCAACAATTCTGCGATATATAATTTCCTGATCTCTAGTTTAGATACTATAAAACTTCACTTGCAATCAAGCCAAGACAATCAATTTGTGTGATAAGCATTGCTTCCATATCATTGTCAGTTGGTAATCCATATTATACCAGTCTTTCCTCTTCTTGGACTTCGTCATATGTTGTGGCTAGGGATTTTTGCTACCTCCATCAAGTTGGTCATATAATTATCGCTTGCTTACTTGTTTTGGTCCATTTTTGCTGTACTGTCAAATGCACTTTCATTTTGCCCTTCTACCTTAGGGTCTCTAACGGATGAAAAGAGAGTAATATCGGCCCAAGTAAAGTGGAACTTTTGGTTTTGGGATTTTTCCATGACGGCCATGGAGCTGGAGGTTTTAGTGATTGTTAGTAGGCACACATTTGTTAGCTGTGGGGACAGAGCAGAAACTTGGATTAGTACTGTCATTTTTCTCTGTAGCTTTATTGGGTAGAAGCTGGTCGATGTTGTGTATTAGATGTGAAACTGCAAGAGATTCCCCATCCCAAATTGTTTAAAATTCTTAACAGATTATTTTCTAACTAAATTAAAATTAGGGCAGCACACGTGACGGAAACTGGATGGAAAACTCATGGAAGGGCACCTTTATCAACATTTGTAGGACTGTCAATAGTTCATTTCCGTCTACTCATTCATTGGGTTTCAAATGGATGTTTATCTGAAATAAAATATGGGAAATACATTACTGTTTGAACTACAGGTACGACATGACTTGTAACCGTTGGCACAAAGAGACCAGCGTACCACGAAAAGCACCTCTACATTCTTCTTTTGGCTTCATTGTGCTAGACAAGGAGCTTCACATTATGACGATCCTTAAAGGGTCGGATTCAACAGAGACACGGAGGACAAGACAGCAGAAGAGGGCAGGGACACTTTTCATCCAAATATACAGTCCTGGGAAGAAGACTTGGAGGTCACTCATCGCCAAGCCACCATTCCAGTCGTCGCTGGACTTCAATACCACTGTTATGTGCTCGATTCAAATGTAGAGCTGCTGCTGCTGCTGCACCTTACCGCAGGCTGCAGGAAGGTATCGGTTGCATCATATAATTGCTGGATCCTAATGAAGATTGTGCTTGCATAAAACACTTGATTGTTGTTGTTGTTATTGCTGTTGTTACCATCGTGGCGTAGGCCATTCGTTGTACAGATTGATAGGGAGGTGGGACGAAATCTGATTTTTGCTGCAGCAGATCATTTTGCAAATGAGATTTGAAGAATTGAATGGGTTGTACATGTCTCTCATTCAAGAACAGTGAAAATAAGGTCTGTGTTATGTGTTTGCTTCAAAGAAAAGAGATATAGAGAAAGAAGAGTTGCTTGTACTTGTTAACTTCCTGGTCAGGCAGGGTAGCAACAGAGAACTGGTCTTGTTAGGCTTTAGCTGAGACCGGGTTCGTGCTTTCATTGAATGAGAAACCTTGACCACTTTGGCTTTGACAGGACTGGGATTTACGCCCGAAGAATTTGAAGTTAGTTTCTGCCCTGAAATATTTGCAAAGAAAATGAACCACTTTTCAAAGTAGACCGACCCGACTTTTTTCTACACCCATGATTTCTCAGTTTTCAATTCAACAGACCCGATCAAACCGCTTTCTAGTTTCGGGCCTTACCTCTGCTGACCGATCAAATAGGGTGCGTTCAGTTGCTTACCAGTGGGCCTCCATGTGTCCCGCATGGACGTGGGCATCGGGTCGTGTCGCCCACGCGCTAGCATGGTAGGGTTAGAACACGGCACGAGTACGGGCACAAAATAAATGGGCCAACCCCGCACGAGCACGAATAATTAATGGGTCGTGCCGGGTCTAAATTTCACGGGCACGAGCACTGGCACAGCACGGTATATTAGTGGGTCGTGTCGAGCCTAATATTTTCGAGACTTTATTGAGTATAAGAACGGACATGAGAAAATAAATATAAAAAGAATTATAGGTTCAAATATTACAAAACACAAGTAGAAAAATAATTATTTATTGTTGTTAGAAATGTCATAAAGATATATATGTAATTACTAACATAAGTAAAAATGGACAAAGAATTAAACAAAACCAAATCACACTCGCTGTACTTCCAGTTTTCTTTCCCCCCTTATTTGTTACTTTTCTCAAACATTATCGGTTATGCCTATCTTCCTCCGTCTTGTTTTCACCTTCTTTTTCATTCTCTTTTATTTTCGTCTTTTTCATTAAACACGAATACGAGCATGACATGAGCACGAATAGGCACGACACGATTCGAACCGTGCCCTGGCTTAGGCCGAGCCTAGCAAAGTTAACAAATGGACTTGCATGGTACGATACGAAAACTGACGGACCATGCCAAGCACAACACGAAATAAATAGGCCCGAAACATGCTCGTGCCGTGCCAGCCCAAGCACGGCCCAACGACCATGTACAACACGCACGCATGAGAACTTCCTCTGTAGTCTGTCCAGCGCGGGCCCGTTTTTGATGGCGTGAAGAAGGGTAAGTACCAATCCATTAAAATTCAAGGGTTTATACTTTATACTTACCGTGCCAACACATTTTTTTATTAGCAAGGTGTTAGCACTAGAAATGTCAAAACATAATCTGATGTGACTCGTGAGTGATTCGGTTATTTAATTCGACTTGCAAATTGAATTGACTAAAAGTTAATGATCTGCATCTCACGTGACCAATAACCTGATAAATCCACAACCCACTCAATATACTACCTGACTAGTTCGTAACCAGATTAACTTGAATCCGATCTGACTAGTTTGTAACCAGATTAACTTGAATCAGATTGACATGAAGCTTGATTATAACCATAGCCTGATTGACCCGAGCTCGATTGAGTCGAACCCTACTAAATCGTGATCTGACTTATCTGAATAATTACTATGTTATATAGTATGTAGTCTTTCTAAATGAAGGTTTTGGTTTAAAATATGAAATTCACTTGACATAATTTATATTTAATAAAATTATAAAAATTAAAACCTCAATTTCACTCGAAACAAAATTAGCACATTCCAATATTAAAAATGAATAATAAAAAACTGAAACAATGTATAGCATTATTGTATAATAAGTAAATTAAAATTTTAGTTAATTAATTATATGAGTTTTATCAATTAAATATCAATACCGTAAAATAATGTATTTCATAATTTGATTATTTTATTAAAAGGAAGGTTGGTGTATTCAACTTAGAAAGAGAAAGAAGAGAGAAGTATGTTGCTTTAAATTTTTGAAAAAAGAAAGAAGTGGACATTTTTGTGCTTTTGATTTATGAAAAAAGAAATTATAAGTTTTTTTTGTGTTTTCAACTTTTTGAGAAGAGAAATTAAAGAAGGGAGAATTTGGTGCTTTCAATTTTTTACAAGAGATAAAAGAGAAAATTTTGTGTGCTTTTAATTTATGGGGAGAGAAAGAATGGGAAAATCTTGGTGTTTAAAATTTTTTGGATAATATTTTAGTGATTTTCAATTTTTTGGTATTTCAAAATTCTATTCTTTCACATATGAATTTTGACATTTTATCTGGAAGACATGGCATACTATACATAACAGCCTTACATGGAATAGTTAATTGAATATATTAGATTTGAGAACCTATCATAAGTTAATCATGTTAAACAAATTATTTTACATTATGTATCATATACGTAATTACTAATCAATTTCATTATCACAATATTTTTATACGATGGTTTAAGAGTTTAGCATTTAGTGAGTTATACATTGTCTATACATTGAGTGAAATGTTCAAAATTACATTAGAGTGCATGTTGCAAAATATTAATTTTGTGTGATGTATCGAAAACTTGAAGTTTTATTCGGTTAAAGGATCGTTGTCACAAATTATGTATGAATGTATTGAAATTGTATCTGACACCAGTTCATTTCACTACTTGAAGTTTGTGAATGTAGTTATTCTACATTTTCATTTTAAACTGATATAGTTTTTACTTATTTGTCTTATGGTATACCTTTTAATTTGTGGTTGTAATAGAATATTGAATGGAAAAGTAGATCTCACAATATTTATTAACTAGTGTTTTTTTTATAATGGTAATCACTAACTAGTATATTTTACCAATTATGATTAATTTCATGAAAAGTTTGCAAGTTATACGATTGCAATTAATCAATCATCTAAAAGAATAAAAAAATTAACCCTACACTTTGATAAGTTTCTTCAACTTTATTATAGTACATATACGAAGAAGAAAATTTTTTTCCAAAAATTACGAAAAGAATGTTTGAAATTAGTGTAATATATAATGTGTAAGTTGCAAAGAGTAAGTAACACAATAAGCTGAATCAAACAATCCGCAACCCAATTCGCTCTCAACACGCTCGAGCCGTAAGCTTATCAACACATAACCTGATTGACCCAATATTCGATGAACCCTAAGCCTGACTAATGTGCAACCCGATAACCGCGAACCTGACTAACCCGCAACTCGATGAACTAAAAACTTGACTAACTCATTACCAGATTGAACTAAACTCGAACCTGGCCGATCGACTCCTCTAGCTAACACTAGTTGTAGCGAATAGGAACATTACATTTTGATGACTTTCTTATTCTAAGGTGAGGTGTTAGACACAATTAGTGAGAATTTACAAAGGAGGAGCACGCTTGTCATTATGAAAATTTGGGAGAGGGGGACACACACCACTCTTGTGCATTAACGGAAGTAGGGTGCATTAATTGGGGGACCACAAAACACAAATCACACCATAAAAGTACCACAAAGGTTAGAAAGCATATCAGAGCCCCACCACACCATGACATTCAGAAAGCATATAAGAGAACTTATAAAGCATGAACCTCAGCACACCAAAAAGTCACAAACCACATCATAATTACCATAAAAGCTTATAAAGCATACCAAAAGTTTCTTATGAGTCAGATAATGAAGTCTCCCTATGAGCCTTTTGTAAACTTCTGGATTAGATAGAGGTTCTCCTTGCTTGGCAGACAACTTCACTTTGTAATCCACAGGTGACAAACAGTCTTTGGCCTCCATATACCCAACATCATTAACGAGATCCATACAATACTTCCTCTGGTTTACAAAGATACCTCTATGGTCTCTATAGATTTCCAATCCCAAAAAAAAAACTTCAACTGTCCCAAATCATTGACCTTAAACTCTCTTCCCAGATAAAGTTTAACCTGCTCAACATCTCTTGATGAGCTTCCAACAATCAGGATGTCATCAACACAGACAAGCACTAGTAGCATTCTGCCTTGAACCATTTTAATGAACATAAAATAATCAGAAGCAGCTTGTGGGAAACCATTTTTCAACATAGAAGTTGTTAGCTTGGCTAACCATTGCCTGCTAGCTTGTTTTAATCCATACATGGATTTATTCAGTTTGCAAACCATTCTCTTATCTAGTACTGGTATTCCAAGAGGGAAATTTATGTAAACATCTTCATTCAGGTCACCATGTAAAAAGGCATTGGACACATCTATTAGATGGATATGGCAGTCCTTAGAGGTAGCAACTGCCAACAAGGCTTTCACTGAGTTGATCTTAGCCACAAGGGAGAATGTGTCTAAGAAATCGATCCCATTTATCTGAGTGAACCCCTTTGCAACCATTCTTGCTTTATGCCTTTCAATAGTGCCATCAGGCCTATGTTTAATCTTGTATACCCTTTTAGAATCTATTGGCCTAACACCTGGTGGTGGTATAACCAAATCCCAGGTCTGATTGGCCTCCAATGCATCAGACTCTGCAGTCATGGAATTCCTCCAACACAACTCTTTAGATGCCTCCTAATAGCTGGTGGGATCAAATGAATTCATTACACTCAATACATATGTCATGTGAGGCTGTGGTAACTGATCAAAAGATAGGACATGCTGCATAGAGTGCTTGCTGACAACACCCGTAAACACAAAATCTTTGTGCAAAAATGGCACTTGTTTGATTCTAACAGACTTCCTTATCATAGGATCAAAACCTTCCTCTATTTCTTCCTAAGCACACAACTCAGTCTCCTCCTCCCCATCAGAATGCAAACTAGACATCTCAAGTGGATCAGCCACTAGTTCAGAAGGAGTAGGTTGTGAATTTGAAGGTGTGGAGGGACTAGGAAGAGAAGTGGAAGTAGAGGGTGCATTATGAGAAGGAGGAATGGAGAAAGAAGGAATGGTGGAATCAGGAGGAAGTGGAGCAGTGACAGGAAAGACAAGATCAGAAAGTGCTGCAGTACAGGAAGATGACGAAGAAGGTTGTTTGTAAGGAAGAATGTGCGCATAGAAGATCACATTTCGTGAGAGAAAGAATTGGTGGGAGTGTAAATCAAAGAGCTTATAGCCTTTAACACCAGGAGGATAGCCAAAAATAGGCACTGTCTTGCTCGAGGATCAAACTTGGTTCTGTCACGAAGGAGAGAAGAGGCATAACATAGACATCCAATTACCCTAAGGTGACTGAGAGATGGTGATTTCTTTTAGATAAGTTCAAATGGAGAAAGGTTATTAGTAACTGGAGAAGATAGACGATTGATTAGGTACACTGCATGAGAAATGCAATCACTCCAAAAGGAAAGAGGTAAGCTGGATTCGAATCTAAGGCTCGGGCTACATTGAGAATGTGTTGGTGCTTCCTTTCCACCCTTGCATTCTGCTCAGGGGTTCCACACATGAAGTTTGGTGTTCAATACCATTAGAAGTACAGAATTCAGACATATGGAACTCATTTCCTTGGTCACTTCTGATTGCTTTTACTGCAGTGTTAAACTGCCTATTTATCATAACACAAAACTGTTGTAGAAAGTCACTAGCTTCAGATTTGTGTTTCATCAAATAAGCCCATACAGTTCTAATGTTATCATCCACCAAAGTATGAAAGTAAGAAAAACCTTCATGAGACTTAATAGCAAGGGGTCCCCAAATATCCACATGGATTAAACCAAAAGGTAAGTCTGCTTTGCTATCACTAATGGGAAAATGAAGCCTTTTCTGTTTGGCCAAATGACAAGTAGAACAGTGTTTAACAATCTCCCTATTACACCAAGAATTTTTTGTTCCCTAGCTTGACTTGGGTGGCCTAATCTCCAATGCCAAAGCTGGATGGTTTGAGGCTGAAAGTTGTAAGTGGCAGCTACTTGAGGAAGAGGTGAGCTTGGTATGGGGAGGAGTCGATAGAGACCTCTAGTTTGTCTTGCCAAACCAATCTGGTTCTTGGTTAAGAGGTCCTGAATATGACAAGAGTCATATTCAAAATGCAAAGAAATAGGAAGTTGATTGGTAAGCTTACTAACTAAGATAAGGTTAAAGTGAAAAAAGGGACTAGCAGAACAATATGTAGTGTTAAGCCTGAGAAAAGTGTGACTGATCCAATATGGCTAACTGGGACCTTAGAACCATTTGGGAGATAAACAAATTGATCAGTCACTGGATTAACCTTAGGGAAGAAGGACAATGTACATGCTATGTGGTCAGATGCCCCGGTATCAATAATCCAATTATGTGCTAAAGCTAATAAACCTTCCTACAAGTGAGAGGTAAGTACATGTTTACCAGAAAAGTTTGGCTGAGGAGGAAAATGCTGTGAGACAGAGAAAGAAGCATGTTTGATAGATGGTGAGGCAGGAGGAGATGGACTCATATTGTCTGATTGTTGAAGAAGGAACTCCAACTTAGCAAAATCATCATTAGTAAAGTTTTCTGGTATGACCACCAACGGAAGATGAGTGAGACTTGTCAAGTGTATGACCACCAACTGATGAACCAGAATTCACTACTCTGTGAGGGGGATTTAGACACAGAGCCAAAAAAGCTTCATTTCCTTTCATCCTTGCCTTCTTGTTCTTAATTCTGTAGCATTCTTCCTTAAGACGTCCACCTTTCTTACAGTACTTACAAAACTTCTTCTCTGCATCATGTACATTCCTGGTGTGTCTCGACCTTGATTACCACCATCAAACACCCTTCCTTTGTCACCTAGGATTGCAAGTGCCACAGACCGAACCCCTCTAGCACTACTTCCTTTCTCTCCCTTCAGTTTCTACTCATGCTGAAGAACATCGTCCAATGTAACATCGATTGAAGGAAGAGGTTTCATCATTAGAAATTGACTATGAAACAAGTCATATTACAGTCGCAAACCACGCAAAAACTTGGTAAGGAATAGAGTATTAAGCCTCTCCTTGAAGGCTGCAACAGCTGCACAATGACGAATTCGCTGTTGCACACAATCACAATCAACCAATGGGGCATACTGTTGATATTCTTCCCAGAAACCTTTCAAAGCAATGCAATACTGAGTTACATTCATGGTGCCTTGCTTGCATTTGTTCATATCCTCTTGCAGATTAGCCAGTTTAGGAGCATTAGACTTTCCAAATCTCCTTTTCAGTTCATCCCACACATTCTTAGCTATATCATGCTGAAGAACAGAATGACTAATATCCTTATGAACAGAATTCATAATCCAGCACAAAACCATAGTGTTAGATGCATCCCACGTAACGAATTCAACATGACCACGTTCAGGCATGGGTAAAGAACCATCGATAAAACCTAGCTTATGCTTGGTCTTGAGGGCCATACAAACAACTCGTTGTCAGACTTGGTAATTAGTTCCATCAAGAACCTCAGAAACAATCGATTGACCCAGATTCTCACTAGGATTAATATAATACAGGCTACGAAAACACCAAACCCACGTTCACATTACCAGGTTGTTGTTGATTCCCAGTCTGTTGGTTGGAACCTTGCGTCCTAGTTGCTCCAGAATCACCAGATCCTCCTGAATCGAAAGACCCAAAGCGAGGTTGGTGGTGTAGCTGACTTTTTTTTTCATTTTTAGCGTCATACTTTAGTATACCGACGATAAAATTGCGTAGGCAACAAGAATGTCTTCAACGAGGCATCACTATGTCAATAATAAGTTATTACCGATGGGGTTTTTATGGCGACGACCAATGACCATTGTTGATCATATGTTGTCAATAATAACCATTTCTAACGGAATCTGACGTATATGTACAAAAAACATGTTGCCACTGATGACAGTCTTTTTTAAGTGTGGAAGAAAGATGTAATTGTGGTGCATGTCTTCATTTAGCCGGTCATTTTTTGGGTGTCATTTCCAAATGTGCTCCTCTTATACACTGCATTCAGATATCTCTTTTTCAAGCAACGGTTGTTGGGATGATTTCCTTTTATTAAATCCTCTTACTGAATTTGCTTACTGCCCTGCATCTAAGTAAGGTCCGCCTCCGGTATATTGTGGTTTGAAACACACAACTTCTTCACTGCCCTCCAAACTTCTCTGTACGTTATGCCTGGATAATAATCTTCTTGTTTTTTTGCATGGCTATAACCCTGTTATTCTTGTTACCTCTTAATTTTATTCGTTTGGCGGGCTTCCTTGGGAGATCTCCTTCGCATGTATTCATTAACTTTTATTTTGAATGATTCGGTTTTATTGTTGTAGTTGTATAAGATTTATAATAATCTTTTCTCAACAACTCATGTTATTGAGAATAATTAGTTTTTGACATGGTATTAGTGTCAGTGTGTGGTATAAGATCCATTATGGAACCTCTTCCAACAACTCAAGTTATTGGGATCAACTAGTTCTTGACATGATATCAGAATTTTCTGTGACCGAGAGGTCTTGTGTTCGAATCCCGATAACCTCCATTTGTAAAGCATATGGTATTCTTGTGTTAAGGCCTGTGCAAACATCAAATCCTTGTGAGTGGCTTTGGTTTGAGGGGGCATGTTGTATGGTATAAGATCCATTATAAAACCTCTCCCAACAAATCGAATTATTGGGATCAACTTGTTCTTGACCATTAGAACTAGTTTGACCAAGTGTACAGCTCGTGTTGACAATGGAATAACTAGATTTAGAACAACTATATATAATTCAAGGGATCTATTTCACTAAAACAAAGTGGTATGGGATCCTGTGCTTGTTAACAAAAGCATATGAAAAAAAAAGAAGAAAAAAATAAACAAATTACGTTAGTGGGCTCCAACTAAACAATTTCATTTTTCATGGAGACACCAAACTATAAAGAGAGCTTTTCCCATGACATCGAAACAATAAACTTTTCACACATGATGAATATCCTAGTCAAGAAGAACTCTGAGAACGTTGCCGACGACCAGTCTGATCATCTTCAGAGACGTCGTGACGTGAAACTGCCAGAGACCGTCGTGGGGGCCGGCGGGCTAATACATCGCCGGCGACGTTCATAGCGCTCACAGCACGTGTGCAGGTTCCCTGGTTTCGGCCGGGGATGTTGGTGCATGGATTGGGACCCGACCCTTGAACCGGACCCTTCTGCAGGGAGTGGAGAAGGAGTAGATGATTCGCAGTACTACCACCTTCCTCTTCCTTGAGCGGTCTCATTTCAGCTGGCTGGAAACAGGAAGCCGAGAAAATGGCCAAAGCCAACAAGATCCAGAAAACCACGGACTTCATCGTCTTTCTTTGATCCCTGGACAGGAGGAGGGTACGTAAGCTTGTTTGAGTTTATGATGCGGCTGGAATTCGTTTACTTGGTAATGAATGAAGGAATGAGGTTAGTGATGGAAAGTTGTTAGGAAGAGAGCATTTATTTATAATGAGTGGCGTGGGAAGAAAGAGAGTATTTGAGGAATGGAATGGAGGTCGGGATACGACGTTGTTCATGTGTGGACGACGAGTAGGGGATTAGGAATTTGACTGCGCTGTTACTTTATAAATAATAATAATTTTCGCCTATGATCGGGTTGACGCAGCACATTCGAAGAGCAAAAGGCCCAAAAGATGTGGAATTGATCAATTAATTAATTAAACCACCCAAAGTCACTCGGTTCAATATTATACCAGCAGTTTGGCTTTGACCTCCACTTCCCGCGCCCTGTTGACATTTTGTTACCATTGATTTCACAGTTTAATTGTTAAGCAGTTTAATTTAATTTGCTTTCTTGGACACCAAATCAAGAAGAAGAAAAAAAGACAAGCGGATGAAGGATCATACTAGGTAAATCATGACATTGAAGGTTTCAGGCTGTGCTGCCATTAATTCAACGAGGGGGGATTAAAAATATTACATCACATGTTAATATATAACTAGTTTTCCACCCACCCGAGTTGCGCTACGTACATTCCTTTTGTTTGTATTTATTTTATTAGATGCTACTATTTTTTAATGGTATCTGTCTTTCACTTCTTTACATTGTTTTTCATTATTTTTATTTAATATATCTAAATATTTAGTCCAAATAATACAAGTATACAAGAATAAGAGATTGGTCTAGTAGTAATACAATTGGTCCTAGAGGTCCCAGTTTCAAATCCCTTAAATAGTACCTAATCACTAAAGTAAGGACGCACAGAGAAAGGCGAGGAACAACTTGCCAAGGAGCAAGAGATCTCCTCAATCGTAAACCGCAAAGCTCTTTTTAGGAACCAGAAGAATCCCCACCACTGGAGGAGTGAAGGGAAACGGCGGCCGCCAGTGTCTTCACAGTTGTTGAGGATTGAATGCAAGAGAAAGAAAGGGAGGTGAGGATGAAAAGGGGGAAATGGGCAGAGCACAAAGTAGACATAATGACGGTGGAAACATCGTCCACGTGTTTAAGATTTCAGTTGGATATTGCGGGAAATGGAGGATTAGTGAGAAGATAGGAAGAAGAGAATGTTCGCTATTCTTCAAATAAGTAAGAAAGAAGAAAGGCAAATTGGAGGCAAGAGAGAGAAAGTGGAATTAGGTTGGATGGATCTAGAGTTCATTCTAAAGATGGGGACCTATTACGAGCGAAGATAATTTCTATCTCACACCAACATTATCCAACTGCATTGGGCATAGTTTCATATTCCTCATTCCGAATAGTGAAGCAGTTGAAGCTGTGACGGACTTTCGGACAATTAGCCTGATGGGAAGCCTAAACAAAACCATCTTCAAGACACTGTTTCATAGGATGCAATCCTTTATGAGTAAGAGCATATCTCGATATCAGTTTGCAGGCATTAGGTGGAGACAGATCTATGAAGCTATCTTCAATGCAAACGTAGCCATTGAAACCGTCATAGGAGAAGGAAACCTAGTCTTGTCATTAAGTTGGACATTGAGAAAGAATTTGATTTGATTAATTGAGAATGCATTCTCAAAGTACTTAAAACATTAGCTAGAGTTGAGCCCGCGATTCAAAAAGTGGATAAAAGGGTTTATTTCTTCGACAAACTTTTGGTGCTGGTGAATGAGGAGGTTGTGAATTTCTTTGGGATGGAGAAGAGAGTGAAGCAAGAGGATTTTGTATCTCCGTTCATGTTCAATCTTGGCATGGACATACTATCTTTTATTCTAAAAGAGGTCGGCAAGGCGGGGTACTTAACTAGTTTCTGCATTATTGAAGAGGGGAGGCAACGTGAAGTAACTCATTTATAGTGCATGGATGATGCAATAATATTTCGCAAAGCTAACAAAGAAGAAGCTTTCAACGTCCTGACTGCACGGGTTTGCTCCCAAAGTATAATTGGACTGAAAGTGAATATAAGAAAGACTAGAGTACTACACCCGGTTGGAAGAGTGCATAATTTGACAAGACTGGTTGAAATACTGGGATGTGACTGGGAACATTTACCAATAACCTACTTGCTTCTTCCTCATGGGGCGCCTACTGATTCTCCTTATTTCTGGAATTTTGTCATTAATAAGTCTAGCAGAGGCTGGAGTGTTGAAAAGGTAACCTTCTATCTATTGGAGGAAGGGTCATACAAAATAAATGCAGTATTGGAAAACCAATTTTTGTACCTCATCTCCATTTTCAAGGCCCCTAAATCATTAATTCAAACTCTGTAGAAATTCCAAGGGGATTTTATATGGTCTGATACACAGGAAAAAAGAAACTACACTTAATTTCCTAAAAAATATATAAAATAGAGAAGAAGCTTGGTGGTGGTGGGGGGGGGGGGGGGGGGCTTAGGGCCCAAGAGTAAACCCTTGCTGAGTCGGCCCAAAGTGGACAATATCGTACTAATAGAGCGACCCATGTTGACAAGTGGTATCAGAACTTAGTTTGGGTCGAGGGCGGTGGACAACACTTTGGTGGACCGTCATTCGGTGGCCTCGAGGTATGCGATCCGCGTCTGTTTGGCGGATCAAGGGAGATATGTGTCTGGGCTGTTTGGTGGATCTCTTCGAGATCCACGTTTGGGCTTTGGCGGATCAAAGAGTGTTCCACAATTGGGAAGCTGATGAAAGAGATTTCTGCATCACGGAAAAATCTTGTACCAAGAAGCCCATCGATACAAGGTGTCTTGCAGATCAAGATAATCGTTGAGGAGAGAACACGAACTTCGTGGTCCTTGTCTTGAGGGAAGGATTGTTATGGGACAATCCTAGTATCAAATAAAAAATATAAGGGAAGGAACCCTGATATATTAGTATCCCATAATAATCCTCTCCTCAAGACAAGGACCACGAACTTCGTTTCCTCACCTCAATGATTATCTTGATCCGCTAGACACCTTGTATCAATGGGCTTCTCGGTACAAGGATTTTTCCAAACGCGGAACTCTCTTTAATCTGCCAAACAAATATGGATCTCTCCTAGATCCACCAGACAAACGCGAACCTCTCTTGATCCGCCAAACCAGGTATAGTCCAAACGTGGATCTCTCGTGGATCCACCAAACCAGACGCAGATCTCAAATCTCGAGGTCACCGAACGAGGGTCCCACGAAACTAACGTCCACCACCTTGGACCTGAACTAGACTCTGATACAACTTGTCATACCGGGGTGCTCAATTAGTATGATATTGTTCGCTTTGGCCAAGCCCGCACGGATATACTCTTGGGTGTCCTCTGCAAAAGGCCTCGTACTATGAGCTTGGTGGACAGTTATATACAAGGGTTCATTCCCTTGTATTTCCAATGTGGTATTTGGATTGTCCCATAAAAATCCTTCTCTCAAGACAAGGACCACAGACTTCGTGTCCTCGCCTCAGTGATTATCTTGATCCGCCAGACACCTTGTATCGATGGGCTTCCCGGTACAAGGATTTTCCAAACGCGAACTCACTTTGATCTGCCAAACAGACATGGATCTCTCATGGATCCACCAAACAACCCAAACGTAGATCTCTTGTGGATCCACCAAACCATACGTAGATTTCTCTTTGATCTGCCAAACAGATGCAGATCACAAATCCCGAGGCCACCAAACTAATATCCACCGCCCCGGATCTGCCGAACCAGACTCTGATAGCACTTGTCGAAATTGGGCCGCTCATTAGTACGATATTCTCCGCTTTGGGCGAAGCCCGCACGATTTTACTCTTGGGTGTCCTCCCCAAAAGGCCTCGTACTAATGAGTGGACACTTATATACAAGGTTTCCTTCCCTTGAATTTTCGATGTGGTACTTGGATTGTCTCATAACGATCCTCCCCTCAAGACAAGGACCACGAACTTCGTGTCCTCACCTCAGCGATTATCTTGATCCGCCAGACACCTTGTATCGATGGGCTTCTCGGTACAAGAATTTTCCAAAAGTGGAACTTTTTTTGATCATCCAAACAAACGTGGATTTCTCCTAGATCCACTAGACAAACGCGGACCTCTCTTTATCCGCCAAACCAGATGTAGCCCAAACGTGGATCTCTTGTGGATCCACCAAATCAGACGCATATCTCATATCCCGAGGTCACCAACGAGGGTCCCACCAAGCTGACGTCCACCGCCCTGGACCCGAATCAGAATCTGATACCACGTCATACCGGGGGTGCTCAATTAGTACGATATTGTCCGCTTTGGGCCAAGCCCGCATGGATTTACTCTTGGGAGTCCTCCGCAAAAGGCCTCGTACTAATGAGCTTGGTGGACACTTTTATACAAGGGTTCCTTCCCTTGTATTTCCGATGTAGTAATTGGATTATCCCATAACAAGTAAGATTTCAAAGGTTAGAAACATCTTCTGGAAGTTGGTACAAGTAGAACAAGGCGGAGGGGCTTGGTCTTTGTATGATTTGACGTCTGGATTGATGGCCAATGCCTTGTTGTTGACTTTCCAAGGATTGTAGCTGCTGCTGAATTTGCTAACTCCAGAGGTGTTGTTATCCTTAAAATTGAAGAGGAGAGGGTTTCTTGAGTTTTTTTACTGAAGTTTAATCTTATGGGAGGGGTTGAGAGGGAGAGAATTTCACTAATGAACTTATTAGAGAGCTTGTCGTTGTCAAATCTCTTTGCACGTGCGGAAAGAATAAGATGAAATCCTACCGGTGAATCCTCCAACCACCGTCACAAGATCCGGCGTCAAATCAGAGTATGATCAATTTGAAAATGAAAATCTCTCTATGGATCAATTTGCATTTTTCTTTTCAAGACAATTTGGCAGCAAATCATTCTGAGTAAAATATGTGCGTTCGTGTAGATCTTATTTCATAAAAAGATTGCAACATTAGAAAATCTCAAGAAGAAAGGATAGTGTCTTCCGAACATATGTGAAATCTGTGAAGTCAAGGAGGAAACCATTGACCATATCTTCATCATCTGTGTATTCTCGATGGAAGTCTAGTGCATTTTTGGTTGCTTTGTGGACATAGGAAATGGTAGAAATAACCTGATGGACATTGCTAACAGGATAAGGGTTTGGCCTTGTTCCAAATCGGAGAATCCCAAGCAATAGAGTGCAAGAATACTTCTTCATGCCTATGGCTAGAACATTAAGCTTTATTGGAATGCACAGATTTTCAATGATGATAGGACCCTTGAAAATAGCTGCAAAGAAGGTGAATTATGCTGTCGCTTGTGATTGACTTGAAAATATGAGGTCCAGACTAATACCCAATGTGACCAATATAGCTTGAAGCGCTTTGTGTTTCGGATGTGTGGGCTGCACAGCACTAAGCATGCACTCATGCAGTTATGGAAGCTTGGAAGGGACGAAGTTGAGGTGGTTGTTGCTGAGTCCCCTTCTGCTGAGAATGTGGAGAATGTGTACAACAAGTACTAAGAGCAAAGCAATTTGACTTTCCCCTTTTTGATTCACTTTCAGGTTGTTTTAATTCGAGGATGACATGGAACTCTTGAACTGCAACCATGCAATCTTCCTCACGTCTGGGAGCTTGTATTCTTGTTTTGGACTTGTTGCAGTGTTTTTTGTTTTGTCCTTCTCTTTTGATCATAATAGTATTATATTATCTTTATAAAAAGCATTATTATCTTCGGTCCAATAGGAATTATCTTTATAGATTTTGCAATGTGTGTTCAGAAGTTTGCATTTTTTTTATCCAAACGAAAACTATATTCGTATCCAAAAGGTTAACAATTCTTGAAAATTTTGTTTCGTTCTCTAATAACATCAAATTAACTTTTATTTATGTAAATCGCCGCGAAGCATGGCCAATTATCTAGTTATATATTAATTGTTAAATTATTGTATGGTACCCATCAAATTATATTTAGTTTATTAAAATATTAAATAATTACCATATATACGCATATATTTCTATACTATGTATAAAAGGACTTGAACCAATCAAATCTCGATCCAACCAAATTAACCTCAAACCATTTCTTTCACCGCGCCATCGAATAAAAACGATTTGACAACTTTATGCTGTCACACTGAGATTCTTTTTGATTTAGCTGCCGAAAGGATACAGTTCTTACTCCGACCCCTTATTACTCCTCCACAACTATAATAATAACAGTCAAGCAAGTGGTAAGCTTAAGTTCACAATGGAATAACCAGATTTTAAACAACCATGTGTACAATTCAATGATCCATTTCATTAATACAAAGTGGTATGCGATCATGTGCTTGTTAAAATAAGTACAGGAAAAAGGAGAAGAAAAATTAAATGAAACTATGTTAAGTGGGCTCCAACTCAACAATTCGTTTCCCATGGAGACACCAAACTGTAAAAAAAAAAAAGTTGCCTTTAAACTTTTCAGTTTTCACACGACACCGAAACAACAAACTTTTCACATCAACATAAGTACTCAAGAACTCTGAGAACCTTGCCGACGACCGGTCACTTCAGTAACGGCGAGACGTGAAACCGCAAGAGGCCGATGGTGAGGCGGCCGGCGGCTGGCGAACACATCGCCGGCAACGTTCATCGCGCTCACGGCACGTGTGCAAGTTCCGGGGCTCCGACCGGGGATGTTGGTGCAGGGATTTGGACCCGACCCTTGACCCGAGCCCTTCTGTAGGGAGTGGAGAAGGAATAGATGATTCGCAGTACTACCACCTTCCTCTTCCTTGAGCGGTCTCATTTCAGCTGGCTGGAAACAGGAAGCCGAGAAAATGGCCAAAGCCAACAAGATGGAGAAAACCACGGACTTCATCATCTTCAACCACGGAACTGAAACGCGAAACGACTCCGGCCGGCGTCTTGTTGATTGCAGGAGCGTACGTAGCTGAGTTTGAGTTTGAGTTTATCTGCGGCAGAGGTTAGTTTGCGTGGTAATTAACGAATGAAGGAATGAGGTTAGTGATGAAAGGTTGTTAGGAAGAGAGCATTTATATTTATAATGAGTGGCGTACGTGGGGAGGAAGAGAGAGTATTTTGAAGAAATGGAATGGAAGTCAGGATACGACGTTGGTCATGTGTGGACTAGTAGGGGATTAGGAATTTGACTGCTCTGTTAATTTAATTTAATTTTAATTCAATAATGATTTTCGCCTTTGATCGGTTTGACGAAGCACATTCGTACATAGAGGCCCAATATTGGTGGAATTGATCAATAAAGCCGCCAAAAGTCACACGGTTCAATATTATACCGCCACCTTGGCTCTGATCTCCATCTTCCGCGCCCCGTTGACATTTTGTTACCTTTCATTTCATAGTTTCATTGTTAAGCAGTTTAATTTTGGTTACTTGGACCCCAAATCAAGAAAAAAAAAGAAAAAAAAAAAAAAGGAAAAGACAACGTATGAACCGTGCTAGGTAAATCATGACATTGAAGGTTTCAGGATGTGCTGCCATGAATTCAACGAGGGGTCATTATAAAATAATTCCGTACTATTATTTCATGTAATGTTATGGGCAATGTTAGAGTGTTAACGTCTAATTTGTAAGAATGGTGCTAACTCTAGTTCTAGTCAATATGATTTTTTTCGTTTTGATGACTTTTATTTATTTATTTTGGGTTATAGGTATACTATCTTTGTACTTTAAACATAACCCTGTACTTTATAAAATTTATTAAACATATTCTTTTGTTAAGATTTACTTCCAAATATCGTCAACCATGGTCGAACCGTGGTTCGGGCGACCCGACATCGAGAAAATGGGAGGAAAATGTTCATTTTTACCCCTCAAATTATTTCTCTAAGTTTCTTTAAAGTACAATCATTAGGGGTTTTGGGTTATACAATAGAAACAAAGAAAATATTAAAGTAAAATTATTAGGGGTATTATAGACACTTGTGTCACCCAAACAACAGTTTGATTGTAGTTGATAGTGTTCGGATGAAAATTTTATCAAAAGAGCATTATTTCATAAATTTTCTAAAGTACATTAGTATGTTTGATGTAAAAGATAATAGAGAGGCATGTTTGATAAAGATGTATAGTAGATAAGCATATTATACTTATAACCCTTTTATTTTTAGGGTTGACCATGATTAGGGCTATTAATGTCTTTTTACCCATTAAATTATCAATTTGAGTGTTGATTCGTTCATGAGCGTTTTGATTTATTAATAATTCTAACTACAATTAATGATGATTTCTAAAGGGAAAGACACACTTGTCATTTTTTTAAAAATTTAGGGGAATGAGCGTGTTACGATACTCATTTATTCCATGTCTCATTATGACTTACAAGTATCATGAAGCAGACAAAAAAGACAAACTAGAAACTCAATAAATTAATCACTTCGTAAATAACAGGAAGTAAACCATAAAACTTATAAAGCACACCATAACTGGCTCTTTTCACATCACTTTGATCTCCCATATATACATGGTGTGTTTAGGGTGACCCAACATCCTCTAGCTCAATTAGGGAAGAAAATAAACCTAAATATACCAAACCCAATCTTTTTTTTTAATCCAAGATAAACCCCAGTGCAGGAGCCACTTATAGGGAAGTTTTCTATCTCTTCCTGCTCTTCGTGTCAGTTTCGTGTATTTTTGCTCCTTGGAGTTTTCTCAGAGCTGCCCACCTTGTGGCATAACATGCTCTTTCATCGGGAATTCGGTTGCATACGAATTACCGTTCTTTATCATTATATGTTTCTTATTTTGTTACCAAACCCTCTCTTATCTACTTACGATAAAGTGAGGTTCATATTTAGACCATCTACATTAAGGATTGCCAAAATACTAAGAAATGAGACTAGATTTGGCACTCTAGTACCACCAAAAGTAGTTCTGTTAGGGAGTGCTAGAATTTCGAATTTACGTAATAGTAAATTTTACCATCTTAATTAGATAATTTGTTTATTAGTTTATATAGGTACTGATAATTCATTAAGATGAACAATTTGGTGTATTTTTTTTTTCTTTTGAAGCACAATCTCGTCTATCCCTATGATATGCATGAGCTTGCTAACCCACCCCCGGACTAGCGGCTATTCTTTGAGATGACTATCGAGGCACTACCTTCGAACGCCGAGTGGCCGTTCGACCCTCTACCACCCCCTGTAATCCCCTCTCTTTTTTTTGGTTGCTGCCTCCCTTCAATGAAAAAAAAAATTGACGTTGAGTATGACATCATCAATAACGAGAACATATTAATTAATTCAATTAATCCTAAAATAACCTTCTACTTTCTGTCTTTCTCCACCATCAAAGTATCCTTTTGTTCATTAAATGGCCTCGAAAATATTGACTTTCAAGGTGAACCCTTGAATGACTTTTAATATTCATACTTAAACATGAGATTTGTACATTTAATAATTAAAGTCCAATTTTTACCAAAATAATAGCAATCATTATAGGCCCACAAAAAGCGTTGCGTGAGGGGCGGGCGAGGGCGACCCCAAAGCACAAAAAAAAATGTATGGAGCACACACGGTCTTCCCATTTGGCATGTCGTTTTAACGGAGATGTGGGGGTATTTTTTTTTTCTGCAGTAATCGCGCAAAATTTGACACCAGGAATCGTTTGGAAGTTCCGATTGTTTTGTTGAGATTGTCATTATGCATATATTGTTTACAATATATCGTTTTTTTAGCAGAAACAATACATGAATTGTTTCTGTGATGTGACAGAAACTATCACTCATTTTGAGTGATTCTTATATCTCAACTTTTAGTTGTGATTGTTGAGATAGTTGAGTTGAGATTGTTTTGTCTCAACTTTTAGCTGATGCGACATACACAATCACACATACCAAACGTTGTATTTACAATGCATCAAAATCGACAATACATGTATAATATTATACATGCATTCTCAACAATACATCTATTTAACAATCGCAACTTCCAAACGAACCCCAGATTTTTCAAGTTTTCGCTCTTTGACATTTTTGGATTGTTATTAGGTCTCATTTCTTTGGAACTTTTAACCTTTTGAGGCCATTGTTGTTAATGTATTACCGATGATTCAAATCAGTGTGCACAGAGTCCCTTATACTAGAGAAATCAGAACTATTTATTAAAAACGACCAAATTGTGAACATCAACGTGATACAATTATCGATCTCTATAATATAAAATCCATTACAGATGGAGAAAAAAAAGTGAAACATTAATGTTGAGCCTCCAACCATACATTTTGCTTTTTTTGGAGACCCAAAAGTAAAGTGAGCTCGAAATTTTTACATAAAACCGAACCAATTAATAAATTAAATCACAAGAATTCACACCGACCGTTAGGATGGATACTAGTCAAGGACAAGAACTAGTCCCAAAAAGAAAAGAAAAAAAAGTCATGATGAACTCTGAGAAAATTGTCGACGACCCGACTGTCTTGTTGCTGTTGTAAGAGACCGGCGGCCGAATACATCGCCGGCGACATTCATCGCAGTCACAGCACGGGTGCAGGATCCCCGGTTCCGGCCGGGGATGTTGGTGCAGGGATTGGGACCCGACCCTCGTACGGCACCCCGCTGCAGGGACTGCAACAGAAATAATAAGTGATTATCACCATCACCTCCGTCTTCCTTGAGCGGCCTCATTTCAGCCACTTGGAAACAAGAAGCCGAAAAAACGGCCAAAACCAACCAGACTGAGAAAACCACGGCCGCCATCTTCCTTTGAGACGCAAAACCCATGTATCTGAAACGTGAAAACGACGGACGGGGTCTAGTTGATGGCTTGATACGTAAGGTACGATCTGTTGTGCCTTGCCGGAGCTTTACTGCATGCGGCAGCTTATGTATATTTGGTTTGCACGGAGAGCAGGAAATCGAGAAGTCCTTTCAGCTTCGTTAAGGAATGATGAGGTTAGTAGATGGGAGAAGTATGAAAGAGTTTGCTACTTATTTATATTGGATGGAGAGGGGAGGAATTTGACTGCGATCCATGGCTTCAGAAATCAACGATCAATGCTAAATAATATTCTTCTCGTTTAGGGAAGTCTTTTGACGCAGCAGGTCCAACCCCAATCGATGTGGAATTGATCAATAGAGGTTGGGTTTGACCTTAATTTCCCGCGCCCTGGACCCTAACCAAATCATGTAACCTACCAACCAACTTAATTTAAATCCACCCATATAATTGGTATGCTCACTTTACATTTGGATTTTCACATTACTTCATCTTTTAATTTCTCAAATTATAAACACCGGGAAAAGTGTAACTTGTTTCTTATGTTTTAGGAGTGCTCTCAACCCAAATATCATAGATGAATTTATAGGCTCGCTGGTTAACTTCTTGAAAAATAATGTTCGAAAATAGTAGTGGATGTCATATGAAACAAATATGTACCATACTAATTTGAATTTTGATAGTCAATTTCTCTGGTCGACCGTTCGGTATATTAGAATTTATAAACAATGTTTCAAACAAACTAAACCATTTTGAATAAAATATTACTCGCCGTTCTCCAAAACTCGTGATTCTTTGTGAAGCAAGAGTTTTTTGGACATATTTTCTTACCCTCGACCTAACATCCCAATTCATTAACTTGTTCATCAGGGTACTTGATCATCATGTGCATGGAATTTTTGCAAGGAATTTAACTGATAATTCTACACTTTTCGTCTATGCCCACAATCGAAGACTCTCAATCATGTTTGACTTTTCCCTTTATTTGATTTAAGCATTATAAAAATTTATCATCAACGATTTTCATACAAAATAATCTCTTCAAAAAGCGAATTCTTGGCATAGAGTTGTGAGTTGTGACCAACGACATTTCTTGTGGTCCTAATTAACAACGTTCTGGTGGTGCAATCTTGTTATGCTACAAGCTAGAAAGGAAATTCATCTTGTATTAATCGTGAAGAGATTATATATAAAGTGGTTTAATCGACTACCTCTCTGATGAGGTCAGATATGTGGTGCGTAACTCCTTATCATACAGAAATGCATAGCTAGATTTGTACCTTTAATTTTAAGTAGGGCAGATCTAAAAGATAAAAAAGTAAATTTTTTCTGTTTTTTAATTGGCTTTTGTTTTATTTGTTTTAATTGGGATTTCAAAAAAATTTGCACAAATGAAACGTTTCGTTGTGATCTACAAAATAATATTCATTTTTAATATATTTCGAGTCAAAAAATGTCATACCACCCTGGTACCACTAGGTATCACTTGGTACCACATTCGTTTTTTAACTCGAATTTTGAGAAATTTTTGTCTGGAAAAAACCAGTGGGTCGTAATCTATTAGATCAACAAATTTCTGGAATAAAGTTTAAGGACCAAAAATATCAACCCAGTATAGGATGGTAACTAGTGGTATATGGTGATGAAAGGTGGTAAATAATGGTTAGTATATTCATACTATAATGTATGCAACCATTCTACATTTTTTGCTCCGTTCATATCAAAGCATTGCCACATGTTATGGACTGGTAATAAATATCTCAATTTCTTTTGTACCAAACATATCAAATTAGATTCATTTTGAAGAGAACAATTAATCTGATTTATTTGTGAAAAATGAAAATACTACTGAAAACGAAAGAGATTGATTTCAAAATTACTACTTAAATTTAAGGATTGATTTCAAAAATTTCCCCTCTACTATATGATTTTGTCAAACAGGCTTCTCTACTATTTTCACATCACACTTGTTCCTTTACTACACATGTTCCAAACATGCTCTTCTGTTACATTTTCCATCCACAAAACGTTAAATGATATGAAAATCCTAAACTACCATCATAATTATAACAAATAAATAACAAAATTAGATTAAAATTCCTACAACCACCACAATCGATTGCTCAAATAACATAACCACAAACTTCTTCACCACCCCCACCACCAATCTGTCATCACTAGTTCCTAATTTTTTTTATAAATATAAATCACAAAACAAAAACAAAAAATTTATTGATAACTTCGAACATAAAATCAGGAGAGCATATATCAAGCCACCAATTTCCCCATTGATAACACAGATGACGAATCTCTAAATCGCACTGTACAATTTTGAAACAAAGTGTCAAGTAAGGAAAACAAAAGCCATTCTAAAGCTTCAATTGAGAGCTAGGATCTCGTAAAGCTTCAAATGGAGATTAGGAATCGGCTTCTTCTTCATCGACGCTAATAGATCCGAGCATATCTCGTTGTAGAAACCGCTACCTTAACAATCCAATTAATTTAATTCTCATGATACCATGATTCAATCAACAGCTCCATATTTGATAAATGGAGAATCAGAAGCTAAATCCAGAAGCAAGGAAATGGGAGCGGTCAATGAGAAGAATCTTAGCAAGGCACAATTGTCTGAGGCAGTTCTTGTAAACTTCCAGACGAAGGTTTGTAAGAAAATGTTGACGTGTACATTTTGTCACATTTTACTTGTTTTAATTGTTTGGGGATCATTACGTAATTTCCCTTTCAGCTTCCTCTTTACCCTAGTTGATGTCGATGGGTATAAGAGTATGGCCTTATGGCCTCCTACTGTAACATGCATGGGCAGATTTATATTCTCCCAAACATAGTGAAAACCTTATCTGAGGTCGCCCTCACAGTGGACTAGTCCCGTCAATTGATGGGGAAACCACGTAAATCTTCGTCTTCTTTACCTTCCGCGTTTATCTGATATTACATGGTATCAGAGCACTAATCGATCTACACCAACGTTTCTACGATCATGGGCGACGAGAAAGATTCAACCAGTGGCACCAAAGATCTTGCCGCCAGCGTAGACACCATACCACTCACATCACCGTTATACTCTCATCCGTCAGAGAATCCCGCACAGTTGTTTGGCGGCGATCTCTTGACTGACCTTAATTACGGTGAGTGGGTGAACGATATGACTGGGACACTTGTTGCTAAGAAAAAACTCGCGTTTGTCAATGGCTCACTACGGCGCACAGCAGTTGGTCGTTCGTCTTTACAGCTGGCTAATATTCTCACGAAGGCTCTGGGTGGTGACCAATTTCATCTTCTTCTGGGCAAGCTTGGCATTCGTGATCTTCATGCCTCCACTTGAGGGGGAGTGTTGACGTGTACATTTTGTCACGTTTTACTTGTTTTAATTGTTTGGGGATCATTATGTAATTTCCCCTTCAGCTTCCTCTTTACCCTTCTTGTTGTCGATGGGTATAAGAGTGTGGCCTTATGGCCGCCTACTGTAACATGCATGGCAGATTTATATTCTCCCAAACATAGTGAAAACCTTATCTGAGGTCGCCCTCACCGTGGACTAGTCCCGTCAATTGACGGGGAAACCACGTAAATCTTCGTCTTCTTTACCTTCTGCGTTTATCCGATTTTACAGAATATGAAAGGAGGAAGAAGAAAATGGGGAATCCTAGTCTCATCGCTGGGTTTCAGTATTTAAAGGTGATTAGAATTTACTGTTTACACACCGGTAAAACTGACGTGGCGGATTCTCATTTGTCTAACATAAAACTACCTCCACAACATCAAACGACAACGTACTAAATGAAAGACAAAAATATAAAAAGAAACGTTTTTTCTTCTTCTTCGAAACTCTCCTTTGCTCCAGAGTTCTTCAAGTGTATGAACTTCGAGCTCCTCCTTCCCTTTGGTGTTTTGGGCAGCTTGTTCCTTTGCATTCATATCAAGGAATCCTTTGGATGTTGTCACGCCCCCACAAGTTGGCGCGTATACATTTAATACGTCCAACTTGTCAAGCAAATAACTCAACCTGTACCTGCTTAATCCCTTAGTAAAGAGAACAACGAGTTGTTCTTCACTTCTAACAAACTTCAACTTGATAAGACAAGACTTCACTCTTTCCCTGGTAATATGAACATCGATTTCGATGATTTTGGTTCTTTCATGATAAAATGGGTTTTCTGCAATCTGAATTGCAGAAAAACAAGCACTAGGGTCTGTACCTTGACATCCAACTCTGCAAGTAATCCTTTAAGCCACTAAATCCCACAAACCAGGTGAGCTAGTGCCCCGTATTCATCTTCAGAAGAAGACCGGGATACATTAGTTTGTTTCTTTGCTTTCTATGTGACTAAGGAGCTTCGTAGAAAGGTACAATAACCTGAAATTGACCTCCTAGTGTCAGGGCATGCTGCCCAATCAGCATCACTGTAAGCTTTTAAGACCAAATCTGTATTTACTAAGTGTAGCCCTTGACATGTTGCTCCCTTCAATTACCTGATTACTCTATAAGGTGCTTGTAGGTGAGTGTCCCTTGGTTCCCTTTGATATTGACACAATTGCTGAACTTGAAAAGCAATGTCAGGTCTGGTTACTGTCAAGTAATACAGCCTGCCTACAAGTCTCTTGTAAATGCCTGGATCTTCTACCAATTTTCCTTCTCCTGCCCTTAACTTTACTTTGCAATCAATTGGACTCTTACAGCTTTTAGCATCTAATAATCTTGTTTCAACAAGCAAATCTATATAGTACTTTCTTTGAGAAACAGATATCCCACGTTTGTTCTTTGTCACTTCCAATCCCAAGAAGTACTTCAAACTTCCCAAATCTTTCAGTTTGAAATCCCTTTTCAGGAACCCTTTCACTTACTCCAAATCACCCAGTCTAGGCCCTGTAAGGATTATATCATCCACATATACCAAAACAATAACAATTCTTCCCTGTACCTACTTGACAAACATAGAATAGTCAGAGGAAGATTGTGAAAAACCATTCTTAAGTAATGATCCAG